CCCCCCCGCCCCAATTTGTTGCCTCCCCTTCAAGCCATTAGCAAAGGTCAGAGTCTTTACCACAATGTTGCACAGTTTACTCTGGATTCATTTCCCCTTTATGAGAAAGCCCCATCCCAGGCTGAACTGACCCAGAGAAAATGCTTCTGATGGCCTCTGGCCAGAGACCTCCCCATCCAGGGCTCTCCCTTCCCCCGGGTAGGAGATGGCCGGGCCCCGACCAGGGGGAGCTCATGAGGCACCCCCCCCCAATGCCCTGGACAGCGCTCCTTGTTCCTCCCCTTCCGCCCATCCAGCCCCTGCCTTTCCAGATGTCACCAATGCAGCTTCCCAGCAGATTATTTTTCGCTCGCGTGCAAAAACACCTTTCTCCCAAGTGACCGAAAAGAAACTGCCAACTCTAAGGACTGGTTGTGACTTGTGACCCAATACAGTGGCATCTGATTAGTCCTGTGACATGAGGGACAGTCATTGCCTGAGCCTCCTAAATCTTTTTGTCGTGGAAAGTAGGTATCCGTTTTGACCCTGCCATTCTCTCTGAGTGGACCTAACCTGGGGCCATGTACACCGAAGGGCCTAATGCGGGCACTTTGAGAATGACTGTGGTGAAATAAGTCAGAATGTATCAACCGGGACTTACGTTTAAGATGATTTTATGAAAAACTGGGGTAAGTGTGGTGACCGCTGCACAGTATCTATTTCAATGTGGGTGACTGAGAGCGTCCTCTGGAGCCCCCATCCCCAACTTCCACCCCTGTTCAGGTCTAGTTCAAGGTTAGCACCTGTGGCTTCTGAACATTAGTGATGTTCTGTCCCTTCCCCTCATCTGCTGTTTGCTCCCGCCTCTTGCCTGAGCTGCCCTAAAACAAAAGCCTTATTTTATTCTTCATGACCTAACCAGCCTTAGGGGCTGGGTCTCCTTTGGGAAGCCTCCACATCTTTGCTTTCCAAATGGTTCTAGAGCACAGCCATCCGGCTAAGCAAATTCTTTTTAGTACTTTTACACAAGGCCTGGCTAAGTATTGGAGGCAATTAAAAAGCCAAGAGACTCCTCTCCGGAGATTTACAAAGGGTGTAACAGCAAGCGCATCAACACCGGATATGGGAGGAGCTGAGAGAGTAGGGGGCCTGAGCTGCTCCTGCGAGAGCCAAGTTCTTGGTTAGAAACACATCCCCAGGTCATCACCAGGCTCCTCTGGGAAAATGCAACCGCCTCGCAGAGCTGTTTCCAGGAACCCTTCACTACACAAGGAGGCGTGGATGCCATGAAACACAGTCATCGTGGAGAGTCGGTTAGAAGCAGTCCTAACTGATTTCCTGCTAATGTGCAGAGTAGAGGAGAGAGAGGTAACAAGAAACCTTTATGTTGGAAACATGAAACCAGGACTTTGAGAGGCGCCTGGTGGCTGGCTGTGTCTCTTGTAGGAAGGCTCCGAGACATGGAGAGTCTGGAATTCCTGGTCCAGGCTCTTCTCCCACGGGCCTCAGTTTAACAATCTGTAGAACGAGGTTCTTTTTTAAAAAATTTATTTTATTTTTTGCTGCGTTGGGTCTTCATTGCTGCGTGCGGGCTTTCTCTAGTTGCGGCAAGCGGGGGCTACTCTTCCTTGCGGAGTGCGGGCTTCTCATTGCGGTGGCTTCTCTTGTTGCGGAGCACGGGCTCTAGGCATGTGGGCTTCAGTAGCTGTGGCGCACGGACGCAGGAGTTGTGGCGCACGGGCTTAGTTGCTCCGCGGCATGTGGGATCTTCCCGGACCAGGGCTCGAACCCGTGTCCGCTGCATTGGCAGGCGGATTCTTAACCACTGCGTCACCAGGGAAGCCCTGTAGAATGAGATTCTAATGCTAGATGTTCCTGAGCTTCTTTAAAGCTCCGACTCTGATTCTAAGAAGACTGGCTCTTGGTGGGCTCATCCTAGTGGAGGGCGGGGCGGGCTCTGCACTTCCCCAGAGCCGCTAGATCCATTCCTGGGAGCTCCAGAGACTACAGTGGCTGCCCCGGCTCCGCTCCAGGCAGGGAATCGAGGATTTTGATTAGTCCCCTTTTTGAGGCGTTTAGCCTCCATTCGTAAAGGGGGAAGGAACCTGGTGTGGCTGCCAGGCGGCCTCCAGCGTGCTCTCCCCCACTTGGAGCTTCTTTGTCACTTTCTTCCAGCTCCACCCCACTCCCTACCCACACTCCAAGCTCTTTCTTACCCTCCTTGTGGTATTAGTGAAGCAGAAAACCTTTGCCGGAGAGAAGTCAACGAATTTACTTGGCTTTTGCATCAAGAGACGTAATGATCAGAAGACTTCCCTCTTCTGGGACTAGGAGAAGCCCCTCCTCTCTGCTCCCTGCCTTCTCCGGCCACCAGTCCCCAACGCTCAGACTGGTCCCCCAGCGCAGGGCCGATGGAAGTGGCTGCTCAGCGAGGCTGGAGCTGAGCTGTGAGGGCACCTTGGGATCCTGTTTGGAAGGGAACGAACCAGGGTGCTTTGCTTGGGATCTTGTCAGCACCCTTGGACTTGAGTACCCTGGGCTCTGCATCCCGTGCTTTGGAGAAGCAGAAAAGCAGGGACCCCGGAATCCCTCTGCCTTTCTTTGTTTCCCTTTTCATCTAGCGAGCACTTAATCCTCACGGAGTTCCGGCCTCCTTCACAGGTTTGCAAACTGAGGCTCAAGGGGGAGGAGGGAGTGCAACTTGCCAAGTTCTTCAGCTTGTGTGACTGCCTTTCCCCATCACCTCAGCCCTGGGTGGGCAGCAAAAGGCCAGAGGAGTGAGGGACTGGGAGGCCTGGAGGTTCTTGGTGCCCTGGGATGGCCTGGCCTGGCCTCCCTTGCCCCACCCCGAGCTCCTGATGGTCTGGGGATGAACCCACTCATCCGAGAATCCCCTGGCCGTAAGCTCGGTGCCTGGCACAAAAGGTGGTTGAAATCAAAACCTAATCAAGGGCTTCCCTGGTGGCGCAGTGGTTGAGAGTCCGCCTGCTGATGCAGGGGACACGGGTTTGTGCCCCGGTCCGGGAAGATCCCACATGCCACGGAGTGGCTGGGCCCGTGAGCCATGGCACCTGCGCGTCCGGAGCCTGTGCTCCGCAACGGGAGAGGCCACAACAGTGAGAGGCCCACGTACCGCAGGAAAAAAAAAAAAGAAAAAAAAAAAACCTAATCAAAAGGAGATATGTATAACTGAATCATTTTGCTGTACACCTGAAACCAACACAACATTGTAAGTCAACTACGTACACTCCAGGACTTCCCTGGCGGTCCAGTGGTTAAGACTCCGCGCTTCCACTGCAGGGGACCTGGGTTCGATCCCTGGTCGGGGAGCTAAGATCCCACATGCCGCTGGGTGTGGCCAAAAAAGAAAGAAAAAAACTATACTCCAAGATAAAATAAAAATTAAATTTTAAAAAATAAAATAAGCTACAAGGATATATTGTACAATGTAGCCAATATTTTATAATAACTATAAACGGAGTATCACCTTCAAAACTTGTGAGCCACTATATTGTACACCTGAAACTTATGTAATATTGTGCAGCAGCTATCCTTCAACTTTTTCAAAAAAGTTTAAAAAAAAGGGAAAAAAATGTAAATGAAAGGAGAAATTTATTTCCTCGGTTGCACCAGCCATGTTTCACATTCTCGTGGCCACACGTGGGTAGTGGCAGAGAGAGTGGACAGTGCAGAGGTGGTCCACTTGCATCACTGCAGAAAGTTCAGGGGACTCTGCTGGTTCAGACATTCAGCCGGGGCAGGGGAAGGTGACTCCTTTGTCCGGGCAGAAGCGGGGTGCAGCTCCCGGAGCCCAGAGGAGCTGTCCGCCATGCACGCTGGGTTCTTCCTGTCCAGGGCAGGGGCGCCCCCTGGTCTAGTTTGCTTAGCCACTGGCTGTGGGCGGTTTGTATCACGAAGGGTCCAGCGGGCCTGGGGCAGTGGTCCAGGCCTCCCTGGTGGGCCCCAGGTGGGCAGTTCTGCCCTGCTCCCCTGACCATCCCTTCCCATCTGCTCAGGTGGCTCTCCTACCTCCTGCTCTTCGTCCTGGACCTGGTCCTTTGCTTCCTCGCCTGTCTGGGACTGGCCAAGAGCTCCAGGTGCCTCCTGGCCTCGTGAGTAGCCCCACCTCTGGGCCTGGGACAGGAGCTGGCCAAGGGTGTGGGGTGACAGTGCCACCATCAGAGAGATGAGGGCCTGGCAGGGCTGGGAGGATGTAGTGGGGGCAGCAGCCACTGACTCACCATCTGGACACCAAGCCACACCAGGCTTTCTTGCAAGTGTCCCCTCCCTCCTGGGCCTGACTGTTGAGCAGCGGCATCAGAGCCACTCACTTCCTCAGCTTACGCCCTCACTGCCGTGTCTCTTCGGCTCAGGGACCTGTGCCCCAGGCATCAGTCCATATCCCTCTGCCAGCAATCAGCGGGGCGATGTCAGGGCAGGGGCTGAGGCTGCCCTCAGGGCCACTGCAAGAGTCTGGGGGTCGGGGGGACAAGATCGTAGCCGAGAGGAAGGGCGCTGAAGGTTGGCGGGGTGACAGCCGTCACGGGGTCCCCCGCCTGTCGGCCTCGGCCTGGATCCCACCGGCAGCTGCCTCTCTCCTAGGGTGCTGTGCTGTGGGGTGGTGGCCCTGCTTCTCAGCTGGACGTCCCTGGCTGCTGACACTGCTGCGGCGGTGGTGAGTTGGGTGGCCTGGGTGTGCTGGGTGGTCTGACCAGGTGGACCGTCTGTCTGGTGGTGCATCAATGTGTCCTGTCCAGCGTCCCCGGGGCAGGGCCAGCTGCCAGTCTCAGTCCCTAACCTAGAATCCCAGAGTCTCAGGACTAAAGGGGCTGAGCTCATCTGTGCCAGCCCCCTCCCCCTTCAGGTGGGGACACAGGCCCAGGGAAAGGAAGGGGCTTGCCCAGGGTCACGAGGCATTTCAGGGTAGAGCCAAGATAAGACCCTTGAAGCCTGATCCCTTTCCCACCCCGCTGGCCCATTCCCAGCCACGGCTTGTGAGGACGGGCACAGATGACCAGGTGCCTTCTCTCTGGGTATAAAGAACTAACCAGGTCTGGTGGGTGTGGGCGGGGTTTGAACCTCAGGCCAGAGGAGCCCTCCAGCTTCAGAAGCACTCTCCTGGGCCGGCTTCCCCGGTGTCAGGAACGTGGAAGGTGGCGTTTCACCTGCTTCCCGTCCCCTTGCACTTGGACTCACACGCACCATCTAAAACGCAGTGGTGTATGTTTCCTGATGTGGTGCCTCAAGATGTGAAAAGAACAAAACCAAGCGTGCGCGCGCGCGCGTGTGCACGCGCACACACACACACACACACACAAGGTGGGTCAGTAGTGTAAGGGGGGAAGCTTCCTATGCAGGTATGTTTGGTCTTTGATAGACCTAATGCTCTAGAGAAGCTGTGTGCGTGTCATTCATTCATTCGTTTGTTTGTTCACCTGATGTTTGGCTGTGTGGCACTCAATGGTGCAGGTGCCCGGGGGTGCAGAACCAGGAGGACGTGATGTTTGCTCTTGACTAAGTCACAGCCCGCAGAAGAAAGACGTTTAGGCAGATCATTGCAATCCCATGTGAATCGATACATGGTGGTGCACTGTGTGTGTGTGTGTGTGTGTGTGTGTGTGTGTGTGTGTGGGGCACAGGGGGCAGGATGTACCAAGGGATTTCAGGGAACCCCTAGCTGACTAAGGGCCACAAAGTAACCCCATGACCTGCATCCATTCTGCCCTTTCAACCTGGGGAGAAAAGAAAAGGGCTCACTGGAACCCCTCTACCCAAATGCGTGCCTGGCCCAGTGACTTGGGGGCTGGCTGGTGGCCTTGGCCTTGACCACTTTGCATCCATGACGCCCCCAAAATGAGTAGACCCTGGTGCAGCTTGGCTCAGTGGCTTTGGGCAAAGCTTGTCCATCAGGGGGAGGAGGTGGGCGTCTCCTGTTCTGTCTCCCCTCCGCCCATTCAGTGTCCGCTTTGGGCAGGAGGGAACCCTGGACAGGCGGAGCCTACATCCCCGGGGGCTGAGGCCCCTCCAGATACAGGGAAGAGCAGAGGAGCGCGCAGGCCATACTCAAGTGCATCCTGCCCTCATCTGGAGCTGGGCGGGCTGTACGTGGTCTGGAGGGAGCGGCTGCTGGCCTGAGCCACATGCACAGCTGCCTGGCGACAGCCTCTCCTCCAGGGACAAGAGTGGGCGCGGGGAAGCTCGCATATGGTGGGCCCGTCCCCCATCTGCCTTCTCAAAGCAGCGATGGCCTCCAGCTGGCCACCATGGGCTGCCTTTTGGGAGACAGCTCCTTCCCAGCGGGGGCTTCAGCTCCCAGCTGAGGGCCCTGGGATGCCAGGGAGCTGGAGAGAAAGGCCATTTCCCTAATTCGATTAGTCAGGCCCTTGTGTGTGAGAGAGAGAGAGGGTGAGGGAGTGAATGGGCCTTTGATGGGGCTACAGATCCTGCTGCATTTTAATAGGAAGTTGGGGGTGAAGGAGCCAGGCCCTCAAAGGCTATTGTGGGGAGCTTTTGTGTAGCCACTGCCCCTGCTCTCTGAGCCTGTGTGGTTTTTTTTTTTTTGGGGGGGGGGGTTTGTTTTTGAGATCTGTGGGACCAGAGCTCCAACACTGCCTTCCTGCTGCAGGGGTGGCCTCACCCCCTGCCTTCCCCATCCCCCCACCCCGAGAAAGGGCCTCCAGGAGTGGAGCGTTGCCCCTAAGAATGTGATGGGGAGGGAGCCGGGAGCCGGGGAGCTGAGCCTTATCTGCTCAACCACCCCCTGTGCAGTCTGGAGTGTAAGGCAGAGGTGAAGGGCGAGGGGCAGAGAGGAGAGAAAGCGCCCAAGGGGAAGGAAGGGGGAGAGGTGGATTCCGGGAGAGAAAGGAGGAAAGGGTCACCCAGGTGCTGTGGCCGCAGAGCACCACTGACTGAGCGGAGGTCTCCCTGGTGGGAATCGGCCACGGAGGGACGGCGGGCCCACCTCACTGGGCCCTGACCCAGTGAGGGTTGTTGTTTTTTTTAATATTTCATATAATCTTATTTTAATAGTGCAAAAAATAATCTGCTTCCAATCAATAAAGGAAAAACTTCCAAAGAATTTTATAAAAATAGCCAATACTTTGAACAAATACAAAAGCAAATAAGTAGGTAAATATTACAATTATATACTCCAAGCCCAAGGAGCCTGGCCTCTGGAACTCCCCTGGCTGGGTCCTCATCCCCTCCCCCGCTCCGCAGCATGGGGCCCCGGGGACGTGACTGAAGTTCCCCGGGCCTCCCTCTCCTTGTCTCCTCTTGTGTAAAATGGGGAGAACAACAGTCGCCTTGAAGGGTTGTTGTTGGGAAGAGATGGGTTGGTTGACCCCTGGGAGGCACATAGTAAGGGTCCATTGGTTTACTGCACATTTACTACCTTTCTAGGAGGGTCACAGGGTGACTCCAACTGCTCAGCGCACCCTCCCCCTCCCCCGCCCCCATCCCCATCCCCGTTGCGTGAAGAAAGCACACGTGTGTGCACATGCACATACGGCCCTCGTCTTCACCGATAGGAAGCTTGAATCCTTACTGAGGGTCTGAAGAGCAGACCTGGCCTGAGGAGGGGGGTGAGGGGCGCATCCCTGGTGGAGCCTCTGCCAGCGGCCTCCTGTCCTTCTTTGGATCCCAAACTTGTTGGGGGTGTGACCCAGACCAAGATGGCGGCCTCGCCCTTCATGTTCCCCAAGGCCTCCCCGTGCCCCTGCCTGGCTCTGGCTCCCCTCTCTCTGCCACTCCTGTAACGAGGGTGAGGGTGCACCCCTGGGCCCGCTGGTGCAGCAGCTCTGATTTATATTAATAAGGCAGTCTGATGATGGACCCTAGTGATTTGAGTATAAAACGGTTCTCCCAGGGTCCTGAGGCATGTGGTTGTGTGAGCATGTATATGTGTGCATGTGTGCGTGTACAGATGTGGCTCTGTGGAAGCTCTGTATCTGGAGGGGCATTTTATTCCCCATTCCCACCCAGACACACACTTTCTAGACCATAAGTGCCATAGTACAGCTTGCCACTGTGTCTCATGCCTAGAACATCGTGTGGCCCCTAGTAGGTACTCAATAAATATTTGTCAATTCGGTGAATGAATGAGTGATGCTCCAGCATTGCCCCCTGAGGCAGCCCTTCCTGAAGGAGGACAGGGCACTGGCAGGAAGGGGCCATGGAGAGGAGTCCCCGGCTTGGAGAGCATGCACTGGAGCAGGGGTGCCCCTTGGAACAGGCCAGAGGACCAGAGCTTCCCCTGGCTGCTCTGAAATGTGGAAGTCCCCCTCTACCCAGTGTCCCACTGCACCCCCCAGGCCAGATCTGGGGAGGGCCTGGCTCAGAGGATGGCATCCTTGCTGCTGCCTCTTCCAGGGCCCAGACGTGCTTCCACTCAGCCCTGTGGGCCCTTGGTGGCCACCTAGCCAGGCTGCACTGTGGTGTCCCAGTCCCCCAACGCAGCAGTGGCAGAGCCCGGAACCCGTGTCCTCTCAGCCCGTGCGCTTCCTTGTCCTCCATCTCATCATGACAGGACCTGCACCCAAAAGCTCAAAGATGGATTCAGCACCAATGTAGTTCTTTAGAAAGAGATTCTGAGGGAGGCTTCATAGGTGGACAGCCCCAGAGCAGGGATGGACTTGGTAGCAGCAAGACAAAAAATAAAACAGAGATGAGCGAACGAGGTCGTGGTGCAAATAACCCTCCAAGACACGTCCCGCAGCTTACCCTTGACCCAGGTCCATCCCAGAAGAGGCATTTGGAAATAAGAGTTAACGGATCGTAGTGCCTGCTGTTGGCCACTTTTCTGAGTACTTTATGTAGATTAATTCATTAGGTGAATAGCGTTTTTCTCTCCATGTGACTGAGGAGGCCGCTGAGATACAGGATAAGGCATTTGTAAAGTTACAGAGCTGGGCAGGGGCAGAGCCAGGATTCGAGCGCGGGGAGGATGGCTGTTGATTGTTTTTGCCCACCTGGGTCTGAGCTGCGGGGTCCCCGTGCCTGGGGCCAAGGGCACCCGGTTCCTCCCAGGGCCCCGGTGTGTGACTTTCCTCCACCCCTCCTGTCTCTCCCCGGCTCAGGGCACCGGCGACTTCTGCACGGCTCCCGACGCCTTCATCCTCAATATCACGGAGGGCCAGCTCCGCACAGGTAACAAGCTCTCGGGCCTCTATGGTCAGAGCCACTCAGGATGCTCAGTCCAGGCCCGTGGTCAGCCAGGCTGTGCCTCTACTTACCCCTTTCAGCACGGTAGTCACCCATTGCCTCCCCACCCCTGTTCTTCAGGTCCAGCTGGACCACTGGGTCATTTCTTAGAAGTTACCTCCTTTGGGAGCTCGGGTACCGGCTTGGCCGCTGAGGATGAATGAGCACCTGGTCACGTGTGAGCTCCTGCCTGACCCAGTGTCTTTGCCTTGCAGAGGTGACCCGTTACTACCTGTATTGCAGTCAGAGTGCAAGCAGCCCCTTCCAGCAGGTACGGCCCGCCCAGCCCAGCCCTCACCCTGCCCCCAGCCCCCTTGGTGGTCAGCTCACTCCCTCTTGTCCCCAAGCCCCAGCACTGACCAATAAGGTGGCATTGGCTCAGTGTTCTTTGCTTCTTTGGGGTCCTCTGCAGGGGACAATGCTCTTGGTCAATGTGCATGCCTATCCGTCACCCTGGATGCTGGTTACCATGCAGAGGCTGTGCAGTAGATCTGGGTTGGGGCCCAAGATTCTGCGTTTCTCACAAGCCCCACCCCCGGGCAAGGCTGTCCCAGCAGGACATTTAGAGTAGCAGGAAGCAAGAGAATGGTGCAGCTCTCAAGAAGCCTGAGGGCTGAGGGGAAGACCTCCTGTAAGCAGGAGGGGCCATGATCAGGGAAGCCACTGCAGCTGCACACGGGGAGGGGGAATCAGGCAGCTGCGGGGGTCTCCTGGGAATCGAAGCTCATGCAGGACCTCGGTCTCTCCTGGCCCAGGCACTGACCGTCTTCCAGCGCTCGCTGACCACCATGCACATCCAGGTGACGGGACTGCTGCAGTCTGCTGTCCCGCTCT